TATATATATATATATATATATAGTGATAGAAGGAGAAATGACCCTAGATGGTGAACACACAATGCAATATATATACAATATATTACAGAATTGGACACTTGAAACCTATATAATTTTACTAACCAATGTCACCCCAACAAATTTAATAAAAATTTAAAAAAACAAAATACTGAGTCAGCACCCGTGGAATGATCTCTTCATTTGAGTTGCTGTGGGGGTCTTATATACTCAAGATACAGTGTCCAGGATTCTAATTCTGCACAAAGTGTCCTACCTTCTTTTCAACAGCAACTTCTTAGAGAAAAACTGCCCTTCCATGTAGAGACTGAAGTCTATTAATCATTAGCAGAAAGCATAGATAGCCTTAGCAAAAAGGTAAGTGAAAACATCTAGGGGCTTTCATTGATATATACTCGTAAATCAATGCAGAATGTTCCAAAAGCACTGAAATAAATGATTTCAGCTTTTGTTTCCCCTCATGGCTGTGTTTCCATGGTATCAAGCCCAGACCATCTTAACAGAAAGGGGGCTGTGATTCTGGAAGATACTTATTTGGGGGCATAGCAATCAATAAGTCACCTTGCTTTAACTGTACCATTTTTCAATTATTTTCTTAACCATTCTTTACCAACCATGAATTAAACACACAAAATGTATAGAAATAGCAACAAATGTGATATAATACGCACCCAAACAATCCTTTATAGCTGAATTTATGACATAACTATATATATGCGAACACTAGACCTTTATAAAAATAAATAAAATTCTGTACATTTGTACTTATATTATGTATTTCATAAACACATCTTATGTTAACATTTATATTTTAATTAACAAATATTATTTACTTGGCACAGGTTTTAAAGAAAAAATGAGCCAGCGAGTATTGTGTGCTGGCTGTTGTCATGTTTTTATATTGTTAAAAAATCTCTATCTTAAATTGAGATTTTTGTCTACATGGAAAATGCAGCCAAATCTGAAAGCCCATGTGCTACACAGATGGTGTAGCTGATTGGAAAACATGGTAATATTTGTCAGTCTTACTTGTTGCTGGAAGAAATCAGGGGGCAAGCACATTGCTGACAGTCACTTGGCAATCCCTTGACAATTCCGTAGTACCCGAGAGCGCATCTTTCACAGTAGTCACCAGCAGTGTTATGCTGGCAATTCTGTAAACAGAAAGAGAGGGGTTTGTTTTTAATTTAATGGGATTTTATTTATAGTGGAATTTATCATCCAACTCCGTACCTATGAGTGTGCATGTTCACAAGAGCATGCATACACACACACGCACACACACACACACATACACATACACATACACACACACACACACACACACACACACACCAGTGACAAAGAACTCAGTTCTTGATATACATATTTTTAAAGAAGCGCTTTCATTTGAGAAACTAGCAATGGGCTGTTGTAGCTATACTGACAATAAGAGTTTCTGTTCTTTTTCCCATGCAATCTCTGTATAAAATCGTTTCTTACTCTAATCTTCGGAATAAACCTTACAAATCTCTAAAATTTATTATATCATCTGGCCATTTATGTTTCTTCTTTACAACATGCTAGGAAAGTACTGAAAATCCTGGGACTGTGGTGCATGTCCGCCAATGGGATTTCTGAAACCAAACCAAGGTGGAAAGCACACATTTCTTAAGAGGCAATGGAAAAAAGAAAGAAAAAAAGGTCAACCTAGTTAGCACATTAAAAATGTTATCCATCTGATTTTTGCCAAATGTTAATGGTTCTTATAGCTAGAGAGGACCCAATCTGAGACCAAGAATCTCAGGTCAATATTTTTTCATGCTTGCATAATAAGGGGCACTGGGTAATATGATTTAAGACATTTACATAAGGAAATTAGAATAGTTTCAGAATAGTGTGTAAACAGCTTTGAAATTAAAATTCTCATAAAGTAGAAATGTATTTAACACAAAGCCATCATTTATGCAATAAGGACTTAGGAAGAGCTACATGTCAGGCACTGAGGCAGGTACTGAGAGAAATCAATGAGGTAAAAAAATAAAATAACATCATACCCTATTAGAACTTGTTTCGACTTTGGGAAAATTAAAACAAAAAATGGCAAAAATGAAACATGGTAGCAAGAATGCAATATTGACTCTTGTTTAGTGGAAATGTGACTTGACTTTGGAAGCTGAGAAAAAGAAGAAAATACATGGAATTTGGAGTTGGATTTTAGCTTGATTTTATAAGACATGATTCAGGGTGGTCATAGAGTAACTTTTTATAAGCAATATCAAAAAAAAAGTTGGGAAGCAAAAACAAAGTCAGTAACAGAATAGATGCATAGATTAGTAAACTAGTCTCCTGATCAATTCTGCTGGAGACACAGAGACACCTGTAGACTCTACAGGAACTTGGACCACAACCCACGTTCCAAGCTCCTTGCTTAATTCAGTCCATCAAGAAGCACATATTTATTTTTCATGTGTCTTCTAATGGCCAGACAATGTTTGCTATGGTATGCATGGTCATTCATGAAAAACAGTAACTGAAGCAACTTTTTCTACAGACATTGCCATTGGAATTTAATTTTTTTTTAGAACTTATTTTGAATCTTTTTGAGGGTTTGTGCCATTCCCTGGGGTGAAACCATGACATTCATTACCACAGTGAATTTGAGACCAGTGATTTTTATTTGTTTGTTTATTTTTACATTTTTTGGTGATAAATTTGAAAATATATTGTCACAGATTTACTTTATAGCTTAATGTGAAATAGATCCAGTTTTTCAGTGTGATAGGATTAAATCTCAAATATTCCCAATTCTCCACCTTACTCTCGGCAGATGACAGCCCCTATTATCAGAGAAAAGGAAATCCACATTTGGGTGCTCCTTCAGCTTCCTGCCAAAGGACTCACCATCTTGCCTGCATTATTTTCCATCCCTTTAACATTCCTGTTCACAGGAAGTGTTTTTCTTTTTCTATCCTTTGTCAAAAGCTATTCTCTTCCTAAATTCTGGTTTCCTCGCCCTCTCACCTCCCCATTTTCTCCAGCATCTGGATTTTCTACATCTCTACTGGCTCATGCACATTGAAATTTAAAGTCGGTCAAGACTTTCCTATATTAAAATATCTCTGGGGTCTCAAGTCCCTTCATAACTTCCATTTCATTGTTGATAAACTTTTTTAAAACAATATTTACATTCCTGGTCTCTGCTTCTTCACCTCCCATTCAGCCTTTAAACAGCCTTCCGATGTCACCACTGGAACACAATTCCAGGCTCATGCATCAAATCTTTGTTGCTAAATCAAAATTTATTGACAACATCAGCCCTCCTGATATAAGAATTTTCAGCAGCAGCTATTTCTGGCCACTCTTTCATTGAAATTTTCTCTTCCTATGGTTTTGTTAGTAGTACAGTCTATTGATTTTTCTCCTATTTATGGTTTCTCTTTCTTATCCTCCTTCATGGACTCTTCCCTTTCTGTTTAGTGAGATTGGTGTCCTTGATTTTAAACTTGGCTCTCATCACTTTTTCCCCTATATATTCTACCCTGGTGATTTCATGCATTACTGTAACTTCAGCTATCATCTATGTGTTCAAAACTATACATTTTGTGTATTCTGCCTGGATATCTCTAATGATTTCCAGGCTCACATTTCCAATTGCTTCTTGGATAGCTCTTATTACAGAACACAAAAGCACCTTGAAGTTGAAATGTCAAATAGTATGCTCCTCTCTTTAAAACTTATAAAGATTTCTGCATTCCCCATTTCATTTGGGGTCACTTGTCACCTACTCAATTCCTCAGGCAAGCACTCTAAAGACCTCTCTCATCAATCTAAAGATGTCTCTCACACATTCCATGATTCTATTACTCTGTTTCTTTACTTCCTTGTTGCTACTGCTTTTAATCTGGTCACCCTTCATCTACCTTATTAGAACAGCTTATTAGCTAAAAAGTCCTGCTTCCAAATACTCTTATCCAGTGATTTCCCCACACTGCAATCAAAGTGATCATCCTAAAAACCACAGCAAACCTTGCCCTTCTCTTGCTTGAAAGCTTCCACTAGTCCCCCATTGCCTTCAAGACAAATAACAAGCTCTTTAGCATGGCAAGGAAGACCTTTGTAATCTGGCCTCTACTCCCCTCTCCAGCCTTACCTCTAGCTACTGCAAACTTTGCACACTATGCTGTATGATACCATCTGAAATTCTCAAACTATGCAGTGTTCTTTTCTACCTCTAGGACTTTCAATATGCAAACCCTTGATCTGAAATGTTTTTTCTCCCTCTTCAGCTCTTACTGTAAATGTTACTTTCTCTGATAAACATTCCCTGATGCCCTAAGTTTGAGCTAAATGTTCCTTCGTGTATCTCAACACAGTGACTGAAATAGGGTAGGCATCCAATGACTATTTTGACTGAATGAATGAATGTACTTTCCAGAAAGTATAGATGAAACTGGTCAGGTTTCTTAAGATTAAAAAAGCCAAGTTTCAAGTCTAATGACTTGAACAGAAATGTGGTTAGCAGGGCATGATGATCTGTCATATTTTGATATTGATTTAAGTACTGTAATCCTCTCTTATTCAGCCATCCAAAGGAATCACCATATTTTAGCAATAAAATAGACATTCCATATTTAACAATAGCATAGGGAGAAATAATGGTTCAAAGATAAGTATCTATGAATTCCAGCCTCAAGTCATTCAACAAGGTGTCAAATGATGAGTAAGCATTAACTGTGGACTGTTTTAAGAACATGTTTTATAGTTATAGAAATGAACACGTACCAAAAAATACAGGAGATCTTGAACAATAATTATTAGCATTTTGCTTTTGTAACAAAACTCACTGCATAATTATTTTATGTAATTTAATTACCATTATATCTGAATCAAAGCACTCAAAGATAATGTTAATCATTACTAGAAACACAGAGATTCAAAAATATGGTTTGCTTCTCTCATACCTACAACTCTATATAATATCCTTACAGAGGAAACAAATATTTTTACCTTCTCTGGACAGTCAATTTTTCAAAGGGCTGCTGACATACTAAACTTGGTTAACTGAATCAAATGTTCTGTTATATTGACAAACACAACACATAAATCATGATGCTATTTTTGAAACTTTTTGACATAGGCCTTTCATAGGACTTTTCTATCTGCTTTAAAATAGTGGACATAATATTTCTCATAATATTTCTCTTGTATAGAAATTAATCTTTAGAAAACTTTCTATAGTTTAGATGCCTAATGAGAAGTTTAATTATGTTCTCAAGAGTGTTATGTGCTAATATCTTTTCAATAATAGATTGGAATATATGATATTTGTATTTTTTTGCACATGGGAAAACTGGAAGCATATATGGCGTCTACTAAATTAAATGAATATAATATTAACAATATTTTGTTTCTTAAGTGTAATGTGAGAAGTTACTTAACCTGCTTTCCTTATAGAGATACCTCCACACTTTCCTTGGCATATTATTAAATGCATTGATTCTTAAAAGACAGCTGTTTTCATCTTTTATAACAATAAGCTATGAAGTTTTTCGTGTGCTGAATGAAAATGTTTCATTCCAATTTTCAGTCAGTGATCCAAGTTCTGTCTTCTGAAGCTATGCCAATTAAGTCTAATTCCCATTTCCCAGGAAAAGTCCTCAAATATCTAAAGAATGCCGTTACTTCCTAAATCTTTTTTTGAAGCTAAATATCTTTTTTAATTTTAATTTTAATTTTAATTTTTTTTAATTGGGGAATCGGGGAAGGGGAACAGACAAGTTGCTGTCCATTTGTTCCTCAGTCTAGTTGTGGAGAACGTTGCTTCACTGGCCCATGTTGGTATTATCATTGCGCCCTTCTTGGCTGAGGTGGATCGGTTGCCAGCCATTGGAAGGCCACTCACGGTGGCTCTTGGCAGCTCACGCTGGCTGCCGGCCACCCATGGTAGCTTATGGCAGCCCACTGCAGCTCCATTGCAGCTTATGCCATCACCAGTGAATCACAGCAGCCCAGCTCCAGGTTGGGCTGTTGTTCACCATCTTAACTGTAGAGGGTGCAGTGTCCCTGGCCCATGTGGGATCCTAACCAGCGGCCCTGCTGCTCAGAGCTCGCGCTCCCAAGCCAACTCTTAACCAATAAGCCACTCAGCCAGCCCTAAAAATCTTTTTTCAAA